TTTTAGATATCTGTTTTTGTGTGTCTGTGTGTGTGATCGGGTGTTTTTTTTCCAGAGCTCATTTATTCCAAATTGATGTCTTTAATCTTTGATCGTGATCTCTTTGTATGTAGGTGTAGCTGAAGATCATGTCGAAGGAGGAGAGTAAAGTGTCGGAGGAGATCGTAGATCTCGAAGAGCCGAAGAAAATGACCCGAGAAGACTGGAGGAAGAAGAAAGAACTGGAAGAACAGAGAAAATTAGGAAATGCCCCAGCTGAAGTTGACGAGGAGGGGAAGTAGGTTGAGCAGATGAACATAACACATGAGCAGGGTGCAGCCGGTGCACTGAACTGTTCATTCATAGATATAATGAAAAGTGATTTCGATTTTGTCATATATGCTGTAACGTTTCCCCAGCCTGACTGTAATATTTTGTTAACAGGGATATCAACCCTCATATTCCCCAGTACATCTCATCTGTCCCTTGGTACATCGACCCATCAAAGAGACCCACCCTTAGGCACCAGAGACCCCAGGAAGAGAATCAGAAACAATTTGCACCCATCGGAGATTGGTATAAAAGAGGTGTACAAGAAGTAAGCACTGCCACTCCCTCTACCCAAATAGCCATGAATTATTAATTTAAAAAAAAAGTGATTTGGTGTCTAAAACTTTTTTCTTATTGCCTCCCTGTCAACTAGAAATTAGTCAGCACAAAATTCAGAAAAGGAGCATGTGAAAACTGTGGAGCCATGACACATAAGAAGAAAGACTGTTTGGAGGTAAATATTTAATAATATGTGTTGCGATTATGTTAGTATATGTTGGTAAAAATCTTTCTTAAAGGGATAGTTCACCCAAAAATGACAATTCTGTCATTAATTACTCACCCTCATGTCGTTTCAAAACCGTAAGACCTTTTTAAGGTCAATTTAAGATATTTTTGATGAAATCCAAGAGCTCTCTGACCCTCCATAGACAGCAAGGGTCCTACCAAGATCAAGGTCCAGAAACGTAGTAAGGACATTGTTAAAATAGTCCATGTGACATCAGTGGTTCAACCGTAATTTTACAAAGCTACGAGAATACTTTTTGTGTGTAATAACGACTTTATTCAACAATCCTCCGGAACAGTCCTCTGCCATTATCGACGCATGCACATTGCTTTCCTCTGCTTGTAAACAAGGCACAAGCACATGTGTGTTCTGTTTTAAATATTTGCTGTTCTTTTCAACTTTTTATTCATCAAAGAATCCAGAAAAAAAAGTGTCACGGATTCAGCTTTTACATCACAGGAGTAAATTACAATTTTAACAAACTTTAAAATAGAACTTCATTTAAATTGTAAAAAAATCACAATATTCCTATTTCCTGTTTTTTTTTTTTTTAACAATATTCCTATTTCCTGTTTTTTTTTTTTTTTTTTTATGATTATAGCACAAGAGATTTCTTGAAGCGAAATTGAACATTTTTACCCCAAACTTGATCGGTATTGATGTTCGAAATAAAAACTTAATTTTGCATTTTGGTTAAAGTTTGTGCAAAAATGTCTTTCACAGAGACCCAGAAAAGTTGGAGCGAAGTATTCTGGCTCCGGCATGGCACCAGATGAGCACCACCAGATTCAGCTCTCAATGGATTATGATGGAAAGAGAGATCGCTGGAATGGGTATGATCCGGATGAGCACATGCGCATTGTAGAGGAATATGCAAAAGTTGATCTGGTAAGTCATGTTGTTGGATACTTTTGTGTATTTATGTTTATTTTATTATACTGATAGGCTATTGATGCACACTCAATTAAGCTTTATTCTCAGAAAAGAGATTTTTTTGTCATGTGACCATTGTCATACATTTTGTTGGAAGGATGTTTTACTGTATTGGTAAAGCATGTCTAAATTATTTATGTTTTTCGTAACAGGCTAAGCGCACTCTCAAAGCTCAGAAACTCCAGGAGGAGTTAGCTTCTGGTAAACTAATGGATCAAGCTGTAAGTATTCAAAATTAAATATTTTTTCTGGGTGTTTTGTAGCTACCATATGTTTGTCACAAGCTTTTATTTACTACTTTTGTTCAACCAAATATTTTGTCTTATATCCAGAATTCAAGAAAGCATCTTGATGATGATGCAGCACAGGTATATATTCAGATTAATTTTTATGTACATTGTGGACTATAAAATACAACTCAAATCATAAAGCCATTTCACTTACTCATTTACACTTTCTTCCTCACCCTTTCCAGGACCACAGCAGTGAAGATGAGGATGACGACAAATATGTTGATGACTTTGACATGCCCGGACAAAATTTTGATTCCAAGAGACGAATCACAGTTAGAAACCTGAGAATACGGGAGGACATCGCTAAGGTAAAAATAACATGATATTTTGCAAACCAATGAATGTTAATTAAAGGCATAACACTACTTGTTGTTGTTTTTTTAGAAATGCATGACATTTTATTTATTTATCCCATAAATAAGTCCCATTAATATGATCAATAAGAGGAGTAATATGCTCTTATCATCAGGATTAGTAGTAGCATATGATTAAACATGAATATTTTTACCACAGTGTTGCTGAATCATGATTTTCCCAACTGTCTTATTTTACAGTACCTCAGAAATCTGGATCCAAATTCAGCCTACTATGATCCCAAGACTCGAGCCATGAGGGAGAACCCATACTCCAACACTGGAAAGAATCCAGAAGAGTAGGAGCATTTTTTTATAGGCTTCTTATAGAAAGCTTGCAGATTGTGTGTATAAAGTTACTTATAGTTACTCCACAACACACTGTTCATCACTAAGGCACAAGTTGATCTAATTAAGTATTGGACTGTAAATTGCTTTGGATGAAAAATCTGCTAAATGCCAAAACTGCTAATGTGTTTAGCTTACTAAATTGCAAGCTGAAAAAATACATCACTGTAAGGGGACATTTTTGAGTCACACAGTCTTTGAGTGTCTATTTCTGTAGTTGTCTGCCTGTCCTCAAAATGATGTGTTTGGTTTGGCAGGGTGGGCTACGCTGGAGACAACTTTGTGCGCTACTCTGGAGACACCATTTCCATGGCCCAGACACAACGTGAGTATTCTTTGTCAACTCGTACATGAATTCCTATCTACCTGATGTTAAATGTAAGCTCCAGACTCTCAGTTCCTATTGGCCTGACATTGTTTTGTGTGTTTCCTCTGCAGTCTTTGCTTGGGAAGCCTATGAGAAGGGATCTGAAGTTCACCTCCAGGCAGATCCAACCAAGCTGGAGCTTCTCCATCAGTCCTACAAAGTCAAAAAGGACGATTTCAAAGAGAAACAGAAAGAGAGTATTTTGGAAAAGGTACAGTTTAGAATCTCCTTTTTTTTATTTTACACCTAGCAACAGTTCCTCCTTCCCCTACTTGTGCGTGCTGATGGCTTCATGTCGCACCTCTCTGCAGTATGGTGGGCAGGAACACTTGGACGCCCCTCCGCGAGAGCTTCTGCTGGCTCAGACAGAGGAGTATGTGGAGTATTCTCGTCACGGGGCTGTGTTGAAAGGACAGGAGAAGGCTGTGGCCTGTTCCAAATACGAGGAGGACGTGCTCATTAATAACCACACGGTAAGTTAGCTGGCACTACTGGAAATGTTACGTAACTGGACCAGTTACATAATAATGAAAGATTTTGTTTTATGGATGCTAAAGATTTTTTCCTTCGACTTTTGCAGTGTATCTGGGGATCGTATTGGAAAGATGGCCATTGGGGTTACAAATGCTGCCACTCGATGGTGAAGCAAAGTTACTGTACAGGAGAAGCTGGCAAGAAAGTTGTGGTGGGTATCAGATGTGTATCCATTGTATGTTATTATGTATCAAAGAATTTGTTTTGTCTTATTATTTGTTTTGTTTTTATTATTATTAAATGCATAATATTTTTATTATCTGTTTTTATCCAACACAAATCTGCTCTAAAAACAAGTTTTCTGCTTATTTTTTCAGAGCAATTCTTGTATTCCATTTGAAGATGATGTAGAGGAGGCCGAAACGAGTGAAGAACCAAAGACTCTTTTACAGGTACATTAACGACCGCCTTCTTTTTGTGATCTAATTCCAATGGAAGAACATGGCAGGAAGATGATTGTATTTTACTAATATGTTTTTTTTTATTCACAGATGCACCAGGAAAAAATGAAAGATAAGAAGAAGAAGAAAAAGAGCAAGAAACATAGAGATTCTGACAGCAGTGATGAGGAAGATGAAGCAAAAAAGAAAGAAAAGCTGAAGAAGGTAGGTGGGCTGTTCCTGCCACACAAGGTGCTCTACAAAGCCTATTGTAAAAGAAAAATACTGTGTTTTCTGTGCAGGCATTGAGTGCGGAGGAGCAGAGGCTGAAGCAGGTGGCTGAAATGATGCAGTTCGATGAGAGGAAGCGACCGTACAACAGCCTAAAGGAAGTGCGTGAACCCACAGAGGAGGAGATGGAAGCCTTCCGCATGAAACGCTGCCGACCCGATGACCCCATGGCCTCTTTCCTGGGGCAGTGAATGAAAACATAAATGTCTTTTGTCACCAACCACAGAGATCTCATAGTTTCAGTTATTGTAAAATCTTTTATTACTGACTCTTACTTATTGAGTTAATAATGGGAAACATCCCATATTATTAGCACCTGAAAGTCTGTTAGAAGTTTCCACATCTTTTCGTTTTTTTTATAAATTTGTGTCGATAATAGTAGAAAATACATTTTCATAATGTGTTCTTTTTATTTTGACAGTACATAAACATTGTTTTATTAGTCTTTTGATTATAAATTGCCCAATAAATGACAAATGGGTTATGTTTGGGGATACAGATATGAACAGATATGTTCCATTCTCCCTTTCCAAAGTATTTAAATGGATTCATAATGAAAATAACTTTACCAGTGGTTGACATTAAACATATTTAAACCTGAACATGGCTATGTTTGGTTTTATGCTTTCTAAGCAACATGTAATCCAAATCATTGCAAATACTCAAAGTGTTGAGAGTGTTTGATGTAAACAAGCACATTTTACATGGCTGCCTTTTTGTAGTTTTGTATAGTCTAAAGCTACTTTTATTGATTTTTGGGCTGCAGAACTATACTATAATAGTCTGACAAGTTTTCGAATGAATCCCCTCCCCCAGGTTGTTCAATTACATCATGGATGAAGTATCTGGCAGAGCACGTCTGTGCTAAAACTGGGTGGATGCTTGCAAAGTTGTGTGGAGGACGTGTAAGATACAAATCGATCCACAATCTTGTTTATATTCTCCGCTTTTGCCAAAAGAGCTGCTGGACCTTTGCATTGCAACTGCAATCTCATCCCTCTGGTGAGGATTGTTTCTAATGCATACTTTGAATTTGTTGTATAATTGTGTTCTGTGGTCTGTTACTTACATTTACTACCTAAATAAAACTGTTCACTAATAAGTCAAGTTACAACCTGCATGTATATAATGTGATTTATGGTGCTTGTTTCTGTGCATGACTCTGTATATGTATATAGAGGAAATCCATGGAAATTCCCCACAACAAAAATCTGGCCCCGTCTGCTCTGTTTGCAGGCACAGCTGCATCATGCATCAGTTACCGCTGGCTGTTTGCCTGCTGTCTCTGTTCTCTGTGTTGACTGTAGACTCATCCAAGAAGGGACGCAACTTCACCATCCATTTATCACAGCTTAGCTGCAGTTTGCCTGGCCCTCAGGGTCCTCCAGGGAGTCCAGGTGCAGCAGGTCCCAGTGGTAACGTAGGCAAGATGGGGATGCCAGGTGTTGATGGCCAGGATGGGAAGGATAGTGACAAGGGACAGAAGGGAGAGAAAGGTAAAGCATCTGATCATGTCTGTTGCGGTTATAATGCCATTAATGAAAAATAACATTCAAAGTGTTAAAATATATTTTATTTCTATAAAATATTAATTGATATTATCTGATGAATTTTTAATTTTGGTTTATATTGGTTTTTTATCTGTAGTATCTTTTTTTATAGCTCAAGGTCACATAAAAAATATATAAAAGTATAAATATGAAATCACAGTTGGACAAACAATGAAAATAAAATAGGTGAGTTGTTTCATAATACATGATAAAATCAGTCTGCAAAATAAATAAATAAAGACACTAAAGACATTTGTGAATTTTCTTCTCAAATGTTAGGGGAACAGGGCCGTCCTGGGAACCCTGGAAAACATGGACCCCAAGGACGTCCAGGGCTTGTTGGGAAGGCAGGGCCAAGGGGCCTTAAGGGGGTGCGAGGGGCACCTGGTGTGTCTGGAGTCGCTGGGATAAAAGGAGAGATGGGAGATGTGGGGGAAACCGGCGCCCCTGGAGGCTGTGACTGTGGAGCAGAGGCACGATCTGCTTTCTCAGTAGCAGTAACCAAGAGCTATCCCAAGGAACGTACGCCCATTCGCTTTAACCGGATTTTAATGAATGAGGGTGGTCATTACAATGCCACTAGTGGCAAGTTTAACTGTGCGATTCCTGGTGTGTATTACTTCACATATGACATCACGTTGGCTAATAAACATCTGGCAATTGGACTTGTCCACAATGGCCAGTACAAGATCAAAACATTTGATGCCAACACAGGAAACTATGACGTGGCCTCAGGATCAACAATACTTAGACTGCAAAGAGGAGATCAGGTCTGGCTTCAGATCTTTTATTCAGAACAAAATGGACTGTTCTTTGATCCATTCTGGACGGACAGCCTTTTCACAGGATTTCTCATTTTTGCTGATCAGGCTGCTCCAAATGAGGCAAATATGATGACTAATTCTGGATCATCCTGATTGAACTTCACATTTGTTATATATTCATTGTATCATATGGCCCCAATAATCTGTATATATATATATATATATATATATATGTATATATAAAAACTAATTCAGAATTTTAATAAATACTATAATAATATATAAATAATACTAAAATAACACTGAATGAAAAAGCACACTATAATTGAACAAATTCATCTGAATAAAGATCGAAAATAGTAATAAAGATAATCTTTTCACTATTTAATTTTTGCTGATCAGGCTGCTCCAAATGAAGTGAATATAATGACCAGTTCTGGATCATCCTGACTGAACTTTCCATTTGTTTCATATTTTATCATATAGCCCCCAATAACCCTGTGTTTACAGATCCACCACATCAGTATTAGAGCAAAACAAGACATGGGACATGTGGAAGGATTACCAGACTTATAAGAAATAAATCATTATTGATTAAGTATCCAAAAACATGAGTTGTCAAAACCCAAATTATTCCTTATAAATTATAAAAAACAATTTTCTTACTACAAGTATTTTTCAACGTTGACTTCAGTCTTAGGCCCCTAAAAATCAGAAAAAACTTTTACCCCAAGGGACTTTTAGCCACGTTGTACACTGATGTTAGATACACATGACCTTTGATCTTCCACAAGACTGTTCTGTTAATGATTTCCCCCCATTTCTATTGTTTATTTACTATTCACATAATCTGATCTTGTATTCTACTACAGTTCAAAGGTTTAGTAGACCTTGTCCACGCTGTCACTGGAGATTAGTGTAACCCTCCGTTTGAAGTATAATTTTGTCCGAAAATAGCAGCCAACCATGCTGCTGCAATCATCTAATCAATACAGGTTCATGGGCAAAACCACTATGTACACAAACAGTAGAGCAGTTGTTGAGCCTGTGATCACTTGTGTTCAGTAAAGGTTAAGTAATGATACTATGCTTATGCGATATTTGTATCATACTGCAATTTGCCCCTCATATCCCACTGCAATATCAGTACATGTACACACGCTATTTAAATGTGCATATTTTAGCAGAACGATAGCCTTTCGTTTTATTTAAGTTGTAATTCTGCCTGTTCATCCACTGATGTCTCTAATAGGCTACGAGTATTTCTTCTTATACCAAGAGTATTCCTAGAAAATCATGTCACCAAATATGGAATGTGCTTATGAGCTCTGAAAATCGTACTATGTACGTCAATGGTGACGAAATATTACAATTTCCATACGTCTTAGAACGTTCGACTCTGATTGGCGTGAGTAGCTCCAAGCCCCTCCCATTGTACGGATTTTACTTCAGAAAAAGCACGGGGTGTCCTTTGACAGTAGGACTAAACCATTCATTGTTGTGTAGGTGAACATCGCGTGAAAACATGTTGCTTTTTTGTATTTTTGTACATATTTTTTGGATTAGTTTGAAATGTTGAAATCCTGAGTGTATTCGTAATATTTCATATAGAGAATATCTTAATACATTATGCTATTTTATTAGTGCATGAAAACCTAATCTACTGAACTCCCCTATCAAGACGTGTCACCCTGGAATATGATGAAACTTCTACCGGCATTTTTCCATATAATGAAAAGACAACGAAACATGTCTAAGTAGTGTCAAAAATGGCTTTTACAAGTGTTATATAGGTTTGTAAACTTATTTCTTGCTTAGCCATACTTAAAGCCATAGTTTGGCTTTTATCAGTTTAAACTGCGGTTCGAAGGACTGTCGATCGAAGAAGAACAATGTATCCGGCCCGGCGCTGTTCATCGCTGCTTCACCGAGACTTGGTCGCTGTCTGTCTCTCATCACTGGGGACACATCCAAAGAAGTCCGGTCCGCTGAAGAAAAGCAGTCTTCCGAGTTCACGAGTTCATCCTCCTCCAACAAGGTCCAACTCATCACCCGTTCTGCTCAGTTCTTTACAAGGTAATTTAAGATTTCGTCCCATATTCTTTCCGTTCCTAGACAGGAGGTGACTTGGAATGCGCCTTTGACGATCAACGTCGATTTGAGACAGTCTAATCAGTTCTTAGGGTTTTAACGTTATGTGGTGCAGTGTGAGAGGATTGAGGAGAATCTTATGTCTAAATGTAAAGAATGTGATTTGAGATCATATCACTTAGTGTGTCCCTCGTGCTCTAACACAGATGACTCATGTACAGTAAGAGGGAGAGCGATGATTGTGTCATACACCCTCTGAGGTGTGGAAACATATTGCAGTTTCCCATAGCAAATCCCCAATAACGGTGTTGTTTTTTATGTAAAAGGCATTTTATGATCTTTATTCAGATGCATTTGTTGTTTTATAATTCTCGAACAAATCTGTGGCCAAAAGCAGTATTATTTTAGTATTATTTATACTATTATAGTATTCATTTTGAATTAGCTTTATTTTCATATTTTTATTTTTCATTTTCATTTTAGTTTAAGCTATGTGCATTTGTCATTCTTTAGTTTTTTGTTAACATTTCTATTCAGCTTGAATTTATTTTTATTTCAGCTTTAGTAATTTTAGTACTTCATCTAGTATTTATATTTTATTTCAGTTACCAAAAATGATTTTTAATTGTTTAAAAGTTTTAGTAAGATTAAGGAAAAAAAACGAAAAAAAAAAAACGGCAAGTCTTTAGATTTTCATACTCTTTTGCCTTGTGAAAATGTTACAATTCTGAAGGAAGTTTGGCATATAATTTTGTTACATTATTATTATATTTTGTTTTTCTTAATATTGTTTGCTTGGGTTAGTTTGGTGTTCTCTACTTAGATCTATTCTAGTGTGCCTTCAAGGTAACTTGATAGTCCTGCTAAAGGTCAGTGAACAGTATCCTTTAAACAGCCCCTAACAGTTCAATCCCCAAACTGAACAGAGTTTTTCTAGGTTATCTGAGTGAGATATGCTCTCTTGTTAGATTTATCAAACTCGTCCTCTGCATCATCTGTGCAGTTGCCTTGTAATATTAAACAGAAAGGACAGAATATGCATGTATGTGCCTGTGATCAGCTAATGAAAAGATGGAAAGCAACAAACACATGATACTTTAAATCAACAAGGTTTTGTTAACCAGCGAACAGATAAAACTCTGTACAGTGGAAGTGATTCCAGCTGTGTGTGAACAGATCCCCCTGCAGGACTGCTCTTCTGTAAGGAATTTGAATTTGAAGGAACAGGACAAGGTCTGGGAACAGTGATGTTATGTAAGTTAGACTGAATAAGCAAATAAAAGCAGCTCCAGTAATTGCTGGGGTATTAACAGTGAAGAACTAGTATTTTGCCGATTGCAAATTGTAAAATTTGGATTTATAATAGTATTACCCTCAAGAAGACAGTAAATGCCTGCAAAAATATATCCACAGCAAGGATGTAACCAAGTATTTAATATTGACATGATCCAAAGGCAGAATTTTAAAAAATCTGAAAATGCTGAAAAATCCATAATAATTAACTACTAGTGTGGACATGTCCTCATTAAAGTCTATGTTGATTACATCCTTAATCCAAGGTGTAGCTTTTCATGTAGTTTCACTTTCACAACGAAACACACGGCGGGCTAGAGTGAGCGGAGGCGGGCTTGAGTGAGGAACAGCCAGCGGGCTTGCGGCAACCACATGTGATCTCCAAAGAGAAAGGAAAAATTGAAATCGCATAATATGACCCCTTTAAATGTCATTAAGACATAGTTTTCAGGTTATAGTTGGTGTGTATCATCTTCTCACCTAATCAGGTTGTCAGCATTTCTCTTAGTCAGAGAATAGCTTTGTACTATTTCGTAACTAATTCTCACATTTGATAGTTTTACCAGGCCTAATTTTACATGATCAGATTGAAGTATGCATACAAGTCATATGCAGAGACAGGCAAATATGAAGTTTTACAATAGTTCTTAAGTTATTAATGCAGTATATAAATAATTTTAGGTAACAATGAACAACATTTCTTACAGCATTTATTAATCTAGGTAAACGTTTATTTGTAAATATACTATTGTTCATTGTTTATTTATGTATTTTAATTACATAAAATTATTTTAACATTTTAAATATTTTATAGTTTAGGGTCTCTAAGAAAGAAGACTCTTATGTTCACCAAGGCAGTTAAAATAGCTGTTTTCTATTTTAATATATTTGATGTAATTTAATCCTGTGATGGCAAAGCTGAATTTTCAGCAGCCATTGCTCCAGTCCTCATTGTCATGATATATGTAATGAATGAACTAATGTCAACAATTTAAAAATTGTGAGCTTATTACATTCCAGACTAATTAGCCACACTGTCTTCCTCAAACCATATATTAAATTAGAGCTGAAGTGTTTCTTCACCGTGCATAACCGTGTGTGTGTGCAGGCATGCATCGGGTCCCTCTCGTGATTTTCAAATGAGTCATTGTTCAGAATGAATGGCAGGGAAACATAGACACACTGGTTCATTCAGGAACCCCTTTGTGTAGGAACACACACAGATACACACACTGTCACATCCGCAGCCCCCAGAATCTTCACATACGAAAGCATGCGAGCTCAGTGGGTGGATGCTTGTGTTCTCTCTGTCTATCGTACACTAACCCACTGACCGAACACTGGATTAGTCCTGGACTCCCTCAAAGTCAAAGCGAAGAGGATTGTGCCTCTAGATCACATGCATCGGAGACAGTCAGTGGAAAAGGATATAATTAGAGGTATTTTTTTAAAGAAATATGTGAATCTAAGTTCTTAAGGTCATAAGACCTAAATATACCCCGACTAGTCATTGATTTAGTTACAGTGGATGTCTAGAGATGGTGAGTTTAATTAGACAAGATGACAAATATGATTGTTTAATGCTGATACTAGAGTTGCATGTGACTTATAAAACTGAACCGGTCGGTTTAAATTGTTTGGATGCTGTGTGGTTTAAATGATTACTAAGCAATGACTAGCCTTACCCATGAACAGCCCTGAGTATTCAGCAGTTGACTATTACATTAATAAAATCTTTACTTTACTTCACTTCTGCTTTTTCAACTTGACAAAGACATAACCAAACCCATAAATATAAAGAGAGAGAGAGACTGGATGTAGAGTTCTTGGATGTACTATTCTTGAGGAGGTAAAGGAGACGGCAGAGGTGGAACAAGATGGAGGCAGATGATATGCGTAAGATTAATGAATCAAAGCTGTGTGTCTGGCATAAACATTTAAGTCAAAATTTAAATGATCACAATTACTCCTACAATGTTTGATTGTGTGTTTGTTTAAATGTACATTTTATTCACACAAACAGTCAAACGTTTCAGGTCAGTAATTTTTTTTAATGTTTATGAAAGACATCTCAAGCTCACCAAGGCTGTATTTATTTGATCAAAATACAGTAAAAACAGTAATATTGTGAAATAGTATTACAATTTAAAATAACTGTTTTCTATTTTAATATATTTTTAAATATATATTTTTATGTGATAGCAACTCTGAATTTTCAGCAGCCATTATTCCAGTCTTCAGTGTCAAATGATCCTTCAGAAATCATTATAATATGATGATTTGCTCCTCAAGACATGCTTATTTTTTTTTTCATTTTCAATGTTGTAACAGTTGTGCTGCTTAATATTTTTTGTCGAAACCATCAATTTTGCAACATAAATATCTTTACTTTTGATACATTTATTGCCTCCTCCTTCCTTAATTTTTTTAATAAATAAATGTCTGAACATGAATGTAAATGTAAGATTAAATGGCAGATTTGCTGCCATGATGCTACTGTTTTTGATTGTTGCTAATGTTTTCTGAGGGGGGTTTAGTATATTGTGCAGTTGCTAGAGTATTCTGGGTAGTATAAGTGGTTGTTTACTAGTCTAAGTCAAATTGGGTTGCTTAGGAAAGTAATAGAAAACTTCTCCACAACAAGCTACATGATTTGAGTTATTATTCCTGTCTAAGACAAGTTAGTATAAAGTTTCTATACACCAAGTATAAGCTAGTAATGGTGATTCTAGTGCAAACAGGACTAATAAAGGTTCCTGTTTCCTGTCCACAAGGAGTTTAGTGTTTCCTGCAGCACTGTTTGTTCTCGATATTGTGTCTGTGAGATCGAGTTGAGTCACGACAGACAGTACACAGCAGTTTCCATGGCTGCAGTTAACCCATTGTCTATTACCATGATGAATAATTTACATAGCCGTAAACTAGCATCCAAAAATCTTTTGTGTCCATCAAGATTGAAGAGGGTAATGAGATTAATCAAACATTGTCTATAAAGGTATACAAGCCAAGAAACATGCACACACTCATGCAAGAATGCTAATAGGTGATTCATATCTAGTTAAACCTCTTCTAAAGACTCAAAACAAGCCCAGACAGATGCTGAGGCATCAGAGACACGTCCCTTCTGAACTTATCAGTGCTTAAACTTATACTTTAGTGATACACATTATGAACAACAACAGACAGACCTAATTCATCTGCACCTTAAATAGCTACCATGTGCTGTCATACTACTGTTTATATTTTCATACACAGTGTACTGCACCGCTACTATTTATATCATTGGCTGCTGTTTGTTTTGTAGAAAGTATGTCGTGTCGTCTTTCATACTATGTACTATGTACAAGTGAGTGACGAGCAGTTTCTGCATCACATCATGCTATAGGCCTGTCATAGAAAACTTTTCATATATATATATATATATATATATATATACATATACCCTATACTACTGTACTATACTAAGATTTTATGTTAATAAACATTCATGAATTATTATGAATCTGTAAAGTTCTATAAAAACTTGTACAGCTATACCAAAGTGTGTATAAGATGTTTTGTGATGTGTGTGTGCAGTGTGTCAGATGGGCAGCAGCAGCAGCAGTAGACTCTTCAGTACTCTGGCCCAGACTCTGAGCAGCGCTGCACTGGCAGACCCGCATGTGGATACTGATGACTACGAGTATGAGCAGGCTGACCCAGATGCGCTGTTGCGTGAATGCGAAGAGGTTTTGAGGAACCGGCCTCCTCGACTGCACCGAGACTTTATGACGACCAGAGCCTGCTCACTGCAGAACGCACCCATCCGCGTCATGCAGTGGAACATCTTAGCACAAGGTACAGAGTCTGTCTGCTTATGTCATGTGTTTGATTCATAGTTGATTCACATGTGGTAACTTAAACCAGGGGTTTTATGCTTTTTAATGCCACCACCTTCCTATAATATAAAGGCAGCTATATATTTGCATGTATAAATACCCATTTTTACTGTGTAATAAAAATAAGCATGATATTATGTTTTCTCGGTAAATAATGTACTTTTATATTGCTACTGTACTAAAGCCAAAGCAAATGAAAAACTAAAAACTTTTCCCAAAAAGCATTAAGTACATGAATATACACCATCGTTTAAAAGTTGGGGTCTGTAAGATTTTTTTTTATTATTTTTACATTTTTTGAAATTAGTATCTTAGGCTCACCAAGTTGCAAGTTCCAAATTTAATAAAAGATACAGTAAAAACAGTAATATTATGAATTATATAGCTGTTTTTATTTCAATACATTTTAAAATGTAGTTTATCCCTTTGCTGAATTTTCAGTAACTATTACTCCAGTCGTCAGTGTCACATGATCAATTAGAAATCATTCTAATATGCTGATTTGCTGCTCAATAAACACTTATTATTGTCAGCGTTGAAATCAATTATGCTGCTTAATATTTTTGTGGAAACTGCGATGCATTTCAGGATTATTTGATGAATAGAAAGTTCAAAAGAACAGCATTTATTTGAAATAGAACAGTGCAAAAGTCATTTTTGATCAACTGAATGTGCCCTTGGTGAATAAAAGATGTGAAATCATTTTCAATGTTGTAACAGTTGTGCTGCTTAATATTTTTTGTCGAAACCATCAATTTTGCAACATAAATATCTTTACTTTTGATACATTTATTGCCTCCTCCTTCCTTAATTTTTTTAATAAATAAATGTCTGAACATGAATGTAAATGTAAGATTAAATGGCAGATTTGCTGCCATGATGCTACTGTTTTTGATTGTTGCTAATGTTTTCTGAGGGGGGTTTAGTATATTGTGCAGTTGCTAGAGTATTCTGGGTAGTATAAGTGGTTGTTTACTAGTCTAAGTCAAATTGGGTTGCTTAGGAAAGTAATAGAAAACTTCTCCACAACAAGCTACATGATTTGAGTTATTATTCCTGTCTAAGACAAGTTAGTATAAAGTTTCTATACACCAAGTATAAGCTAGTAATGGTGATTCTAGTGCAAACAGGACTAATAAAGGTTCCTGTTTCCTGTCCACAAGGAGTTTAGTGTTTCCTGCAGCACTGTTTGTTCTCGATATTGTGTCTGTGAGATCGAGTTGAGTCACGACAGACAGTACACAGCAGTTTCCATGGCTGCAGTTAACCCATTGTCTATTACCATGATGAATAATTTACATAGCCGTAAACTAGCATCCAAAAATCTTTTGTGTCCATCAAGATTGAAGAGGGTAATGAGATTAATCAAACATTGTCTATAAAGGTATACAAGCCAAGAAACATGCACACACTCATGCAAGAATGCTAATAGGTGATTCATATCTAGTTAAACCTCTTCTAAAGACTCAAAACAAGCCCAGACAGATGCTGAGGCATCAGAGACACGTCCCTTCTGAACTTATCAGTGCTTAAACTTATACTTTAGTGATACACATTATGAACAACAACAGACAGACCTAATTCATCTGCACCTTAAATAGCTACCATGTGCTGTCATACTACTGTTTATATTTTCATACACAGTGTACTGCACCGCTACTATTTATATCATTGGCTGCTGTTTGTTTTGTAGAAAGTATGTCGTGTCGTCTTTCATACTATGTACTATGTACAAGTGAGTGACGAGCAGTTTCTGCATCACATCATGCTATAGGCCTGTCATAGAAAACTTTTCATATATATATATATATATATATATATATACATATACCCTATACTACTGTACTATACTAAGATTTTATGTTAATAAACATTCATGAATTATTATGAATCTGTAAAGTTCTATAAAAACTTGTACAGCTATACCAAAGTGTGTATAAGATGTTTTGTGATGTGTGTGTGCAGTGTGTCAGATGGGCAGCAGCAGCAGCAGTAGACTCTTCAGTACTCTGGCCCAGACTCTGAGCAGCGCTGCACTGGCAGACCCGCATGTGGATACTGATGACTACGAGTATGAGCAGGCTGACCCAGATGCGCTGTTGCGTGAATGCGAAGAGGTTTTGAGGAACCGGCCTCCTCGACTGCACCGAGACTTTATGACGACCAGAGCCTGCTCACTGCAGAACGCACCCATCCGCGTCATGCAGTGGAACATCTTAGCACAAGGTACAGAGTCTGTCTGCTTATGTCATGTGTTTGATTCATAGTTGATTCACATGTGGTAACTTAAACCAGGGGTTTTATGCTTTTTAATGCCACCACCTTCCTATAATATAAAGGCAGCTATATATTTGCATGTATAAATACCCATTTTTACTGTGTAATAAAAATAAGCATGATATTATGTTTTCTCGGTAAATAATGTACTTTTATATTGCTACTGTACTAAAGCCAAAGCAAATGAAAAACTAAAAACTTTTCCCAAAAAGCATTAAGTACATGAATATACACCATCGTTTAAAAGTTGGGGTCTGTAAGATTTTTTTTTATTATTTTTACATTTTTTGAAATTAGTATCTTAGGCTCACCAAGTTGCAAGTTCCAAATTTAATAAAAGATACAGTAAAAACAGTAATATTATGAATTATATAGCTGTTTTTATTTCAATACATTTTAAAATGTAGTTTATCCCTTTGCTGAATTTTCAGTAACTATTACTCCAGTCGTCAGTGTCACATGATCAATTAGAAATCATTCTAATATGCTGATTTGCTGCTCAATAAACACTTATTATTGTCAGCGTTGAAATCAATTATGCTGCTTAATATTTTTGTGGAAACTGCGATGCATTTCAGGATTATTTGATGAATAGAAAGTTCAAAAGAACAGCATTTATTTGAAATAGAACAGTGCAAAAGTCATTTTTGATCAACTGAATGTGCCCTTGGTGAATAAAAGATGTGAAATTAATTTAATGATTAAAAAGAAAATCATACTGATGACATACATTTGAATGGCAGTACACATAAATACATAAAATAATATACATCAAATAATAATAAAATACAATTCTGGACAGTGTTTATAAAGAATGTAAAGTCAAATTCTGTAATGATTTTAAAATTATTGCTTTAAACATATCTAATATATATTTGAAGCTAACCAATTGTGTTGGTATTTACATTTGTATTTTTTCTGAATTTATGAGGCAGTCCTAGCACCCACTTCCAGCCCCCAGTTTAAAAACTCCTTGCTTAATGTTTATAAAACTGAAGACACTTCACCTTTCACTGAAATGCTCCCATATGGTGCTCAAAACGTGACGTAAACATTCTTCATTGTTCTTGTGTATCTGCAGCTCTGGGTGAAGGCAAGGACGGTTTTGTGCGCTGCCCAATGGAGGCATTGAACTGGTCAGAGAGGAAGTATCTCATTTTGGAAGAGATCCTGACCTACAGGCCAGATGTGTTGTGTCTACAGGAGGTGGACCACTACTTTGACACCTTCCAGCCTGTGCTCGCCAGCTTGGGCTACCAGAGCAGCTTCTGCCCCAAGCCATGCTCCCCCTGCCTGGACGTTCACAATAACAACGGCCCTGACGGCTGCGCTCTGTTCTTCAACCGCCGTCGCTTCCAGCTGCTCCACACCGCTCACCTCAGACTCTCTGCCATGTTGCTCAAAACCAACCAGGTTGCTATCGTGGCTACGCTTCGCTGCAGGTTCACAGGTCGAGTCTTCTGCGTGGCAGTAACACACTTGAAAGCGCGGAGCGGCTGGGAGGCGTTTCGAAGCACACAGGGGGCTCACCTCCTCCAGCAGCTCTGCGAACTAACCACACAGTCGCACCCGGAGATGGATGATGAAAACCGGACTAGGGTTGGGGAAACCGAAGATGGTATTCCGTTGGTGGTATGTGGGGATTTTAACGCGGAACCAAGTGAGGAAGTGTACAGGCGCTTTATGACTTCTCCTCTGGGGCTAGATAGTGCTTACAAGTGTCTAAGTGAGGATGGGAACACAGAGCCGCCCTACACCAGCTGGAAGATCCGGCCCAGCGGAGAGAGCCGCTCTACCTTGGACTACATTTGGTACTCAGAAAGAGCGTTCCAGGTGGACACTGTGCTAAAGATACCGAGCGAAGAGCAGATCGGGCCGGACCGGCTTCCATCGTATCATTATCCCTCTGATCATCTGTCACTGGTGTGTGACCTAAGATTTAGTCAGCAGCCTCATAGGTTCATGTAGCTGTCAATCATTAGTGCTCTCCAATAGGGATCCAGAGCAGCTTAGGACATTCCTAGAGTATGTGTGCTTATGTCTGAATGTGAGAATGCATTATTTGCAAAGAATGTATCATTTTATTCACCTATTTTTACCTGCTTATGTAGGTCTTAATGCACCTCTTTGCTTATTATTTTCCTTGATGGAGATTAATTATTATTATGCTCTCATTGTTTGTTAAACAGAGGTTGTGCAATATATAGTAATTTATTAAGTGCTAAAGGATGATCTCAGGAAGACGCACATTCTCGATTAAAAGGTTCCACAAGTGGAAAGATGTTTATATTTATACTGACTGTATACTTTTTTTTTTCTTTTAGTAACACTGTAATCATTGATATGTTTGCCATTGACCAGTAATCTCTAAATACACCAGTTTATTTAAATAGTGTGGTCTCTTTCTTTAATAACAAACTAGTGAATCAGAAGTCTTGCACATTCATGGAAAATGTAACATGATAACAAGCTTGACTCCAAACAATTAAAGATGACATTAAACTTTTTTTTTTTTTTAAATTAGTAAGATTTAAATAATGAGCGAGTACATCATAAAAACATTACACACTGTGTTTTAGAGCTGTCTGACAGATTTTGCAGGAAACGGTATACTTCCGTCATTCGTCACATTTATAAATAAAGAGTGAGACGATTTTTATTTAAGTTCTTTTGGACTGAAGCAACGCAACACCCGCTGAGTGGCATTAAACAGCTTGAAAGATCAAAGACAATTTTTAATATAACTCCGACTGGATTCGTCTGAAAGAAGAAAGCCATATACACCAGGGATGCCTCGGGGGTGAGTAAAACACAGCCTAATTTTCATTTTTGGGTGAACTAACCTTTTAATTACATTCATAGGATCATCTGTAACCGTAAGTACAACGTTGCGCCTCAAGCCATCGGAATCATCCACATAGAGCAGACTGGCGGAGCCGAAGCACAACTAATGTTAAAACTAACCTAATTACCAAAACATTGTTCCTCCGCATGTAACTTGTAGTTTGATGCTTCAACCGCTAGAGGGCCAAAAGTTACATAGTGTACTTTTTTTTATTATTATCTACAAAACTCCTATTTTAAACATTGCAATTATTTCTATATCAGTTTAATCATCATTTATTTTGTTAACATTCTTCTTGCAGTCTTCTAAATCCATCCTTTAATGGTGAAATCTCTTATGATCCGGATGCAAAGACTGTCATTCTTTAGTCAATCTATTCTGGTCCGAAGCTCTCTGAGCAATTAGCAAAAATACGGATTTAAGGCTTTGTTTAAAGTTACCAACACAGTAAAGCTCTCCAGTAATCCTAGTACATTCCACAGAGACTAATAATGTCTCTACAGTATAACATCTAATATCAAACTGTATAGGGAACGTTTGAGTGCATGAATGTACAGATTCTTTGGGCTGTGTTTGGTTTCATAATGGACAGAAATTCTGAAATTCACGCCATGAAGACTGGTTTCCTACACTTTCTACACTCCATGATTTTCCCATGTGTCATTTAGTAATGAGTGGATAAAGATCTTTAAGTTCACATTCAAAAAAAAGAGTCATTTCTATCCACAAAAAAAAAAAAAAAACTAGTTGTTTGCATAATTCTCTATATTTAAATCTACTTGGATACAACTTTAGGGTAAGAATACAACAAAATATATGCTTCATATATTGAATATTCAATATACTGTATCAGACATTCTTTCCCTTTTTTTGTACATGTGAAAAAAATGATCTGCAAAATACAAAGCAGTGAATGCATGATACAGAAAACAGTGATAAATGCACAGAAAGAAAATTATTGAAAAAGTCTGAAATGACAGAAAAAAAACATTTGAATGTCCTTCAGAAAACAGTTTCCTTTGAACTGTAAAAAAAAAACACTTCTTGGTACAAAATAGCAAAAAAAAAAAAAAATTCATATTTACACAAAGCACAATCAGTTACTTTTAGTAATGATTTAGGAGGAAAAAGCTGACCTAAGGCTGTTTGTTTTATTATCATTAACTACCACAATTGTATGTCTATGCAGATTATTTTATGCTCCAAATTACCAGGTGATCAAAATCTTGGCTGTTTCTCTTCACCCACGTGACTTCCTCTCAGTCTTTAGCACCAAGTGAGGTTCGTTCCTACAGCATCACAGCACAGATGGTATGCTATAACAAAGCGTGATTTGAATAGATACATTTAAGAAATAAAAGAAAGAAAAGTCTAACCCAGGCTCAGGCTACACATGGTGGTTATATTGTTGGGCGTCAACAAGCGTCTGAGCTGTAGTTCTGGTTTCATCCGTTTCAAATAAGAGACAGCCACTCTTCACATCACTTGTTTTATTTGCAACTGTGTCACAAGCATTGATGTCGGTTCCTGTGAGTGAATGCAGTGATATTTGATGTTTGCTCAGCTCAGTGTGGTCGTGGGGTTCATCTCTGTGCTCGGTGTGTTCTCCACAGCCACGTTAACTGTATGATCCACGGAAACCTCAGGAGTTTCAACCTTAATAATAGTCACATCCTGTAAAGTCATCGCTGGCTGTGCGTTCGGCACCACAGTCACTCCTGGCTGCGAGGTCACCACAGTTACAGGAGCTGTGGAGGCGGTCGTGGAGATGTTGGAGGGGACGGCGAGCTTCAGGACTTGGGTGTTGCTGGTAGACACGGTGACGGGGGAGAGTGTACTCAGAGTGATGGGAGTGCCGGGTTTGCCAGGTATGGTGGGAAGGGTGATGAGCTGCAAGGTGATCCTCTCACCGCTTTGGCCCCGAGCAGGCACTAGCGTTGGCACGGCCTGGAGAACCACTTTGCCTGCGCTGTTACCCCCAGCGACTGAGTTGGGCGCATGGAGGATCGGCGAGCGGACGGTGGGAGAGTTGACAGTTACTGTGGAGATTTTCTGACCCCGTGTTGTCATGAGTACAGGAACCTGCATGGCAAGCCTCACTGTCCTGGAAACAACAAAAAAAGCATTGTGATAGGTGCGATTTTAACAGGTCAAATTTTAACCACAATGAAATACAT